TACACCTGATTCCTTGAAGGGTTTACATTTTCATGGATAAGGTAGAATTCAAATTTTTAAAAATTGAGTAACACTTGTTTTTAATCTATGTATTGGCAAAGAAGACTGGATTCATATACTTCTTTTGCCGGTGGTATATATGTTAATATTTGCTTGCCAGTGGGGAAGAAGGATTGTAAATATTTGTCTAAACCTCTCTTTACTTTGGTTGGCTTGTCCCTTACTATACCTACATGTCTTTACTTCATGTAGCAACTTCTTCTAAGACTAACCAAATCAAATGGTACTTCCTTGTTCCAGGTTTTTTTGAAGGGGGTGGTATGTCTGTTGCCCTAAGTAGCCTGGGCCAGAGATGAAATTAGAATCAACCTCCAAAAAGCCATGGAATTTGAGAGATTTATTGAAATTTTGGAAGTCATGGGGAGATTCAGTCATCCTGAAAAGTGATGATAAAATTTTATTATTTTTGTATCTAAAACATAATTATTTCATATCAAAATGGAATTTGAAATTATCCCACTTTTTTGTTGGTCTATCAAAGTATTTACATTATGTATATAACAACCTGTATATGATATAATGATCCAAATAATTTGCTTTTATGTTTGGTATATGGTATATGGTATAGTAGAAAGAGTACCTGTCTTGAAATCAGCAGATATCTGGGTTCTGGGTTTGAGTCCACTCTCAGGTATCATCAGATGTATATGTGAGCATGGCAGCTAGGTGGCACAATGGATAGAGTGCCTGCCCTGGAGTCAGGAAGATACATATTCATGAGTTCAAATCTGGCTTCAGACACTAGCTATGTGACCCTGAGCAGGCCACTTACCCCTTTTTGCCTTAGTTCTTTCTTTTGTAAAGTGAGTTTGAGAAGGAAATGGCAAACCACTCCAGTTGGTTGGTTGTTGTCCTTTGTTCTCAAAGAGGACCAAAATGATATCACTATGTTGGAGTCAAGGTACAGTATGTCTGACTGTGGCTAATTAGACCAATATGAGCTCACAAGGTTCTACTACAGGTCAGGCACAAATAGTCCAAATGAACATTTGAAGTGGAGATGTCTCTAAATTTTCACATCTCACATTTCTTTTGAGCTACTGCAATTCTGCTTTGCTCGCAGAACATAGCGCCTTCTTTGATGCCACGATGGGCTGTCCTTTGCCAGAGTCTCCAATCTATTCCAAAGTTCTTCAGAAAGACCATGAGAGTGTTCTTGTACTGCTTCTTCTGATCTCCATGTGAGTGCTTGCTTTGCATAAGCTCTCCATAAAAGTCTTTTAGGAAAACATAATTTGGCATTCAAACAATGTAGCCAGCCCCTGGGAGTTGTGCTCTCTGCAGGAGAGTTTGCTTGGCAGTTCATCTTGAGAAAGGACCTCAGTGTTCCGTACCTTATCTTGCCAGGTGATCTTCAGAATCTTCCTAAGACAATTCAAAAAATTCAATTTCCTGGCACGGAAAGACTGGTAGACAGTCCAAGTTTCACAAGCATACAACAATGGGGTCAGCACAACAGCCCTGCAGACCTTCAGTATGGTAAGCAGTCTAATACCTTTTTTTTCCCATTCTTTACTTCGTAGCCTCCCAATGAGCCTCCTCTGGCAATTAGTGCATCAACCTCATCATCTACGTGTATATCCCCGGAAGGTGTACTGCCAAGGTAAGTGAACTTATCCATAACATTCAAAATTTTTCCATTTGCTGTAATCGATGGTTCCACATACGGATGGTGTGGTGCTGGCTGATGGAGAACCTGTATTCTCTTGGTGTTAATTGTTAAGCCAAAATAAGCATAAGTAGCAGAGAATTGGTCCATACTTGGTTGCATCTCAGCTTCAGAGATTGCAGCTAGGTGGCACAATGGATAGAATGCTGGGCCTAGAGTCAGGAAGACTCCTCTTCCTGAGTTCAAATATGACCTCAGACACTTTGTGATCCTGGGTAAGTCACTTACCCCTGCTTGCCTCAGTTTCCTCATCTGTAAAATGAGCTGGAGAAGGAAATGGCAAACCACTCCAGCATCAATGCGAAGAAAACTCCAACCGGAATCACAAAGAGTTGGACACCACTGAACAACAAATGTGAATCATGGGCAAGTCACTTAAACTTTTCAATTTCTCACTTGTAAAATGGGGATAATGATTTTTCTACTATCTCACAAGGTATTTAAATCTGCCTGGGGTAGGGGAGGCTAGTTATTATTTCTTATTGGTGTCTACATTGTGGTTTGGAATTTGTTGTTGAGTCATTTCAGCATTTTAAAAAATGCTTTAGGGACCCTCTTTTCTTTCTTTTCCTTTTGGCAGCCCCATTACTAGTGCCCTCCTTCCCCCAATGGAAAAAGAAATAAAATACCCTGGTAACAAATATGCATAGTCAAGCAAAACAGTCTTTGGGAGCATTTTTACAAAGCAACTTCCATGGTTTCATATGGTCAATCCAGTTTTATCTCAATGCTTCCATTCACGTCTTCTATGTATACCTTCATTACTGATACAATAATTGATCTTATTCCCACTTAAACTCTATTAGACAGTAAAAGAGACAGTGTGATGTATAGGATAGAGCACATTGGCTCTGAAATAAGAGGACCTGCATTCAAATTCCACCACTGATGCTTACTCCTTGGTGACTTTGGGAAGCTATGGTTGAGAGGTAATTGCTAAATGGAAGATTTGTAACGTCTGCTTTCTATAGGAAAACTTAAGAGAAAAAGAAGGCATTTGTTCTCTCCTGACAATTATTAAAACTATCACTCAAATTGTTCTAAATTTAAAAATTCTTTATTTTAAAAGTGCTTTTGTTGTCATTAAACAACTTCAATGATTTAGTAAACATGCATAATAGCTAATGGTTTTTGATAGGGCAAATTTATGATAGTCATCTTACTCTTGAGCATTATAGACTTGATAGTATATTAAAGCCTATTATATTCTAATAAATGAGTTTTACAATATTATTTGTGCTCATTTTATAAGACAATATAATTCTATGATTATAGGGGTTTATAATAGTGACATCTTTGCTTTTATGATGATAAAATGACATCTTTGATGTGTACCAAGGTCACTTAACCTCTCTAAGCCCAAGTTTCCTCATCTGTGAAATGAACGGTTTGGACTAATGACATCCCAAATCCCTTACAGCTCCACATGTATGATCCTTTGATGCTGAATCTTTGGTTAAGAAGGATTGGAAGTAAGGAAACCTCTGCATTAACTAGCTTCCTACCTTTGAATGTCACATCACCTCTATAAACCCCAGTTTCCTCATATTTATGGAGAGAGTTTTGGACTAGATCAGAATTTTGGACCAGATCATTTTGTATTATGGAACTCTGACAATCTGGTGAAGTCTTCACCAGAAGGTTTTTAAATGCATAAAAACACATAGTACTACAATGGCAACCAATTATATTGAAGTAGTTATAATAAAAAAAAACACAAAACCTAAAACAAGTTCATGGACCCCAAGTTAAGAGCCCATGGACTAGATGATCTCCAGGATCCCTGACAGCTCTAAGAATCTAGGTAATTGAATGGTATTCTTTTAAAAAAAGATTGCAATTGATATATTCTTTCAAAATAGATTTTTATGGATACTTTTGCTATTGAAATAGATTTCATTGCTATGGTGATTTAAAATATAATTTGGTTAACAGATATGTGGCATTTATAGATGGAATAATAAAGCACAAAACAAAATATATAATAATAACTAGCATAGGTGGTCTATTGGTGATTAAAGCTATCTCATTTGAGTTATCTCATTTGAATCTAAGTATATTGTTATCTTTAATAATAATTAAAGCTAGCATTGATATAGCTTCCTTGTAGTCTCTTTTGCTCTTCCTTCACAACCCAACAACACAGCCGAGAACAAACTCACGATGAGATGATGCCCACCTTGCAACAGGCACCAGGCCCTTTTAAGTATCCCTTAAGGCATACTTAGGAAGGCAACACCAGAGCAGTTTGTGCTTCCAAATTAAATCCGAGTAAAAAAGGTGCAGAAAATAAACAAACCCGCACAGTGACAGGTGGGAAGAAACTGAGGATTTAGAGAGGTCAAATGATTTGCTGAAGGTGAAGCTCACACAGCTAGTAAGTTTCTGGGACAGGATTTTTTAATTCGAGTCTTCCTAAGTCCAGGATTACAACCACTTTGCCTCAATGAATATACATTTATTAGGCACCTACTATGTGCCTGGCACTGTGCTAAGTGCTAGGGATGCAAAGAAAGGCAAAAAGACAGCCCAGGGCTCAAGGACCTCACAGTCTAATAGAGGAGACAACCTGCAAACCACTCACGTACAAACAGGATACACAGGAGTTATAAACTGGATAATCTCAGAGGGAAAGCTTCTTTGTAGATGGTGGGACTTTGGGCCGGGGCGCGGGGATGTGCAGGAGGAGGGAGATCACCCCAGGTCGGGGCGCAGAGATGGAGGCCAGAACCTGGGTGACCGACGAGGCTGGATCGGGGTAAAGGCCTAGGGGAGCTGGAAGGGGGGGCAGGTTGTATCTTTAAGCATATTTGTACTGACAGCTTTGGCTTTAAAAAAATATTGCTATCTTTTTAGAAATAGATTTTACTGATTTAAACATTTTTGCACGGCCGACGTTTCACCCCGCCCCACGAGTTCCTTGTGGGAAGCACCGTGCTTTCTTTCCTGGGCCCGCCTCCGGGCCTCGCCCTATCTGCGCCTCCCCTGGGCCAGACTTGGTCCAGGCGTAACCCCTAGAGACCTGTGACCTTCCCCGCCCGCCGGCCCCTCCCGCCACAAATCACCCGCACTCCACCTTCTAGGCCGCCCGAAGATAAGGCCGGGACTTGGCCTCCCTCCCTATCTCGGGCCCCCGCGTTTCCAAGAAGAGCATCGCTCTCAGCCAATTAACGACCAGCGCGCGGGGCAGCGAAGAGCTCACAGGGAGGGGTAGGCGTGCCCCAGCGGCTGTAGGAGACGTGAGTGACAGGGCCGGCGGCCAACCGGAGCCCTGAGTTCTCCTCCGCCGCACCACTCCACTTTTTCGGGGGCCCACCTCTTCCAGATCGACCTGGAGAGTTGGGAGAATGTCCTGGGTCAGAACTGCATGAGCCACGGGCCGGACTGTTGCTTTCCTGAAACGCTGCAGGATCTCTCCGTGGGCCGCGATGGCAGAGCAGTCGGAGCAGAACGTGAAGTACTACACGCTGGAGGAGATCCAGAAGCACAACCACAGCAAGAGCACCTGGCTCATCCTGCACTACAAAGTCTACGATCTGACCAAATTCCTGGAGGAGGTGAGCTGCCCCGGGGGCTCGGAGCGGGACCTGCGGTCGGGCCTGCCCGAGGCTGCATCCCCTGTTCGCTTGGCCGGCCCAGGAGCCCCGACCTGGGAGGGGGGACGTCCCCCTCTCGTGACTCTTGCCCTGGGTTCCCGTTGTCTGTGAGAGGAAATGGGGGCGGTGGGAGGCCCTCGGGGTTTGCAGAGTAGGTGGTTCTCGGTTCCCGTGAGATTTCCACGTTTGCAATCGCCGACGAAAAGTTTTGAAAAATCTTGTATGTCCTGGCAAAGATTCGGACCCGCCGGGTGGGAGTCCACCGCCCCAGGAACTTGCCAAACCTGTCACTGTGCGGGTTTGTTTATTTTCTGCACCTTTTTTACTCGGATTTAATTTGGAAGCACAAACTGCTCTGGTGTTGCCTTCCTAAGTATGCCTTAAGGGATACTTAAAAGGGCCTGGTGCCTGTTGCGAGGTGGGCATCATCTCATCGTGAGTTTGTTCTCAGCTGTGTCCAGGGCACAGGGCTGTTAGCATCTCCCCGGTGGGGGAGGGCGGCAGGATCATCTTCCAGAGTTTGGGCAGGTGAAAAGAGCTGCCTACTAGTGGGAAGATGCTAATGCATCTTTAAAGGAGTGAGTAAGGTACTTTTACTTTTTTAACCTAAAGGAAAATTTCTTTTTGCCATGTATATAGAAGATAGATTGTAACCTCTAAAAAGGCGGAGTTCCAGTCTTAATCTTTGTAATCTTCACCGTATATAGTATTTTACATTTAGCATGCTATGAATGAACTAGTTAATGATTACACTTTGAGGCCTTTTCTGGAAAATAATAGTAATAATTAGTGTTTATACAGGGCCATACGGTTTTCAAGGCACTTTACATATGTTCTGTCACACAGCCTTCTGAGTCAGTTGTTATTATCTCCATTTTACAGATGAAGAAACAGGCTGAAAATGGTTAGAGGGTCTGCAGGGTCTCAGGCATCTGAGGCAGGATTTGAACTCAGGTACCTATTCCTGGCTCCAAATTTAGCACTTAATCCACTAGGCTACCTAGAAAAAAAATCTCCTCCCTTTGAAGGTGTTAATTACTGATGGGAGTTTTCCTCTTGTAATATAATTCACTTATACTGGCTTATACATTTTAAGTAGCCATGTAAATTAAACAGCACTCTGAAAACTTTAATGAGCACATACTTGATTATGGACCTATTTATTTGGTTAAACTTACAGAATTAATCATTTGGCATTAATTTATATAAAGAATATTTTGTTTTGTACCCTGATGTTTTTGCCTTTAGCATAAAATATAAACTTCTTTGTTTGGTCTTTAAAGCCCGTCATAAACTAACTCCACCTACTTTTCCAGGCAGATCACACATTACTCCATCTCATACATTCTGCATTCCAGCCAAAGAAGCCTACTTAATGTGCCACACACTTGACATTGCATCTCTGATGTTTAAGCTTTGGCATAGGCGGTCCCTCTCACCTGGAATATGTTCTTTGGTGTCTTCCTCTTGGAATCCTTAGCTGCCTTCCAGGCTCACCTCCAGCTTTTCCTCCTTCTGAAGACGTTTCCTGATTGTCCCCCAGTGATTAGTGGCCCTCCACTCCCCTCTATATTGAGTTTCACGTTCAGTGGTAAACCTTTTTATTTCATAGCATATCTAATTCAGCATCTGGTGTAATGATGAAATAGAACAGTGTGTCCTGATTTAATTAAAAGTGGTTTGCAAGAAGCAATTTAGGTTTGAGATTTCCTCTTCTACAGATATTGAAGAGGAGCTATCAGTTCAAATACTTGAATTCCTTAAATAATATTAATAGCCAGCATTTATATCGCAATTTAAGGCTTGAAAAAGCACTTTGCAAATATTAACTAATTTTCCCCTCAGAATAACTTAGTGAAGGAGCTGCTATTATCCACATTTTACAGATGAGAAAATGAGGAATAAAGAGGTTATAAGAAATTTGCTAAGAATCATATAACTGGGTAAGTGTCTGAGGCAGAATCAGAATTCTGGTCTTCCAGACTCCAGGTTTAACATCTTATCTACTGCGACTTCACTTCAAACCATCATAACAGCAAAGAAATTGTTATTATTCTGTTAGATTACTATCTGGCTTAACTGCCCCAAATACTTATTTGCAATAACCTTTTTTCTTCTTCCCTAACCATTTATAGTGCTTAGATTTGGATTTTATTTTTCTTGAAAGTAATTTTTCTCTTTTATTTTGTTTAAAAATTATTTCAGGGAATTTTATTTCTTTTTAAATTTTAGACATGTGTTACGTTATTTTTCTGACAAAGTCCTGTTCTTCATTTGGAATAATAATAATAAGCAGCATTAAAGTTTACAAAGTGCTTTACATATGTTAATTCATTTGATCCTCAAAAAATCCTTGTGATATAGGTGCTGTTATCCCATTTTATAGATAAGGAAACTAGATAGAAGCAATTAGAGGCTAAGTTAACTTAGCCTCTAATTGTGACTTTCACAAAGTAAAAGTGTCAGACACAGAATCTTCTGGTCTTCTGACTTCCCTGGGCTACCTCATAGTGACTAGAAGGATAAAGTTAAATTCAGGAAAACCTGGGTTCAAATATTACTTTTAATGCTCATTATCTGGGTGACTATAGGCAAGTCACTTAACCTCCCTGAGCTTCAGTCTTCTGGGAAATGAGGGCTTGAGGTAGATGGCCTGTGAGTTTTCTTCCAGCCCCAATCTGTGACTCTAAGAATGTAAATTTTGTAGTTTTCATTTTTAAAAAATCAGTTTATTGAAGCAAAGTGAGGTAAAAAGTGTTAATGGATAGCCAGAAAATTCAAGCCCAAACAGCCAGTTTTCCTTTAATTATCTAGGGAAAGTAAGTTCTAGGGCCTCAGTTCTCCATGTAATCTATATGATTTGTACAGTGGTAATTACTTAAATTCTTCAAGAGTTTGTGATTTAATCCATATAGGTTGTCCTGCCACCTATGTAGTTGCAACTTCTGTGTTCCACCTGATGACGAGATTGTATATTGATAACAGATATATGTTATTGACCAGTATTCAGTCATTCCAGCTAGATAATAACCTACTGGATCTTATGCTCTGTTGGAATAGCCTTCAAGAACCCAGGGTTATTTCACTCCACGTTGAGATCTCAAATCAGATATTTAGAGACTTTAATAATCATCTAGCCCAGTCCTCTAATTTTTTACATGAGGAAAAAAACACCCAGAGAAAGGAAGTGGTTTGACTAAGGCAACAGAAGGTTTGGAATATTTTCCCTGGCTGTTCCTGGTACCTGGAACTCTCCCTCATCTTTACGTCACCCCCACTACCCCCTTTTGACTTCCTACAAGTCTCACCTAAGGCCCTGACTTCTACAGAAGCCTTTACCTTTCCTCCTTAACCTTAGTGCTTTCTCTCTTAGTTGTTTGCAGGTTGTCTTACTCACTAATACATGAGCTCATTGAGATTGGGGACTATTTTTTGCTTATCTTTTGTATTCCCCTTGCTTAGTACAGTGCCTAGCACATACATAGTAGGCTCTTAAAAAATGTTTGACAATGTGAGTAAAGTCTTTCAGATTCCAAAACCAGTGTTCTTTCTGTTGCACAATTAATAGATTAAAGGGATTATTTTAAATTCTGTATCACTGAAATCCTCTTGCTGCCATACCAAACCTACCAAATTTTTGTTTTCTCTAAAAACTTTTTAGTATTCTTTTTCTGGGGAAATTACTCAGAGGGAGGTGACAAAGGGAAGAAAACAAAGACCTCCTTTAAATGTCATCACAATCTCTTTCTGCAATTCCTCTTTAAAAGGATAGAGAGACAAGGGAATAACACAGAAGTCCTCTGAGGTAGAGAAGTTTATTGGCTATATTATCTGGTCCAAGTGCTGTGTAGTTTTTTTTCTTCCATCTTATACATGCCTATTATTCTGTATGTATGCTCATGCTAATGTGTCCATTTTAAACTACAGTCTTCAACTTGTTTAGCATCGTGCAAAATTAGGTGTTCAGTTTGTACTTTTGATTAATGATATATATCCTCCAGACCATATTGAAAGCATGGAATGGTTGGAAGAAAGCCACCTGTTCCCATTAAAGATACCAACTGTTTATTGGGGACTCTTTGAGGGACCTCTTCTTTCATGGAACAATAAGCCAAGGAAAGCATTCAGAGAGTAGACTAGCAGTCAGAGATCTGTCTCCTAGTGTACAAAAATTGGATTGGAAAGCAGTGATTGGGTGTGTAGCCTTCCATAGGGGTATGATTCACATCATGGGGAATTGTACCATTTCCCTTCTTTCTTTAAATATAGGAATTTTTGCATCAAGTAGATTCATTTGGGCAGTATTTGGAGTCTAATAACACCAATCATTAAGGTGTTAAAACAGACACATTTAGGAAGATAAAGTTTTATGTTTTGTCTTGGTGAGTTTGTTTTTTTTTTTCCAGAGAAGAAAAGCAGAAATTTGAGAGAAGCACTGCCCATTCTTAGTAACACTTTAAATAGCAGCAAGGTTTTGATTACTCATGGATGCTTAATGTACAAGAAGATTATGAGCTTTATTGTCTAAATATTTCACGTTTGAACTCAAGACATGAAATTGAACCTAGTTTTCTTTATTTTATGCATGTGAAACTTAGTTTTATCCTGTATCTGATTACATTGTTATCTGAGCTATTACCTGCAGGATTTTAAAGGATAATTACTTGAAATGAAAGCTTGGGTTATTCAGGCCAAAAAAAAATTGATTATGGTTTAGTTTTTCTCATCTCTGTAAGTTTGCATAGTAACATTTGTACAATTCTGAGAAGCCTCATTAAAAAGTATCACATAAGAACAATAATAGTTGCTAACATTTACAGTCCCTGTAGGTGACAGGCATTGTGCTAATTGCTTTACAAATATCTCATTTGATTGTGAAAAATGATAGGTACATTAGTTTTTTACTTTTGGTTCAAATGTTTCCTACCTGTGTGTGACATTGGGCAAGTCACTTAACTTTC